CCCAGGAGCGGCCGAGCGAGCAGCGCGCGTCGGACTGCGGCTGCCCGCCGTGCCCGGGGCCCAACCTGGCCATGTGGGAGGAGCACGCGCTGCGCGTCGAGGACATGGACAGCAAGCAGGACCCGCTGGCCCAGTCCAAGTGGGCTGCCCAGGACCTCTGCCGCAAGACGCTCGACGACCTGAACCACCTGGTGAAGGCCGAGCTGCGCTGCAAGCCGCGCTACCTGCACCCCGCCGCGGGCAGAGGTTGTGGCCGGTGGACGCTTGGGCCGGTGCGGTGCCGTCGCCCCATGTCTCACGGCCCTCTCCCCTCCTCTCCGCCCCGCAGGCCCCAGCCCCCAGATGCGGGCGGAGCGGTCGCTGGCGCGGCGCGAGCGGGCCTTCTCCACCGTGCGCTTCATGATGCGGCGCCTGCACGACGCGGTCCGCACGCGGCAGTGGCGCGATGCCGAACCGGTGAACGTTCAATTTAAAATTATTTGAATGCACCGCGAACGTTTTTGCTGAATCACTGACCGATAGATGCTTCATAAGAACAACCGCTCCAAAGTGTGTGGCACGTCGTCACACCCTTCTCTGCCTGTCAGCGAAAGGACAGAGACAGAGAGGGGTTACGGCTTCACACTTTGGAGATGAGTTCCTCTGAAGTATCGTGACGAAGACGTGATCCCTCCGCCGGTCGAAGGTGGGTGAGCGACTGACCAGCTTCTTGGAGCGCCTGCCGTGCACGATCTTCCCCGACCGCCTCGACGCCCTGGCCAGGGTCCTCGACTGCAGGGCTCTCGCCGCGCGGAAGAGGAAGAACAGCAAGGTTGGTGAGAGTTTCTTTCTATGAGCATCTCGCTGTCATTCGTTCAACCCTCCTTCTCTCCGTTCCACAGCTGGCCATCAGCATTCAGAAGCGGCGGTGCACACTGGCGGTGGACCACGGCATGGCCGCGCTGTACGCGCGCGCGCTCGACGAGGTGGCCCTGCTCCTCTTCTCCGTGGCCGACTACCCGCTGGCCGAGACGTCCTGGTGCGAGCGGCTAGCGCGCCTGCAGCAGGCGCAGCAGCAGCTGCAGGGAGAGGATGCCGAGGGCGAGGCGCCGCGGCAGGCGCAGGAGGAGAAGGTGCAGGTCCTGTTCCAGCTGGCGCGCACCTGCTTCGTGCAGGGCTTCCTCCGCATGGCGGGCCCCAAGGCGTCCAAGCAAGGCGTGGGCAGAAAGGACCACCGCAGGGAGCTGCAGCAGTGAGTGGCTT